AAGATATTGAACTACACATGCCCAGCTCCCAATGCCCAGTTTACCAATCAGAATAATCATTTCTCATTTAAGTACAACTTGATTTACAAATCTTCTGGGATTTTTGAAGAAGTTCTTTTGAACATAGACAGACTAGACAAGAAAGAGGCCTTTCCAGCTGGATGAACCAGAGGTTGCCACTGAGGAGAGATGGAAGGCTGCAGCCAAACTTCTCAAGGAAGAGAAGAAGGATTTTCCCTTATTGCCTTGATGCAGCAGGGAAAAATATTGCAACCTGGCACATATTGCTGCTCCTCCCATTCCACTGCTGCTCTAGTAACAGTTTCTGACAACAAAATGTGTATGGAATGTGCACTCATGTTAAATTACTGCTCTTTCCTGGGAGAAGATAAAAGGCATTTCTCTTGTGTGAATTACTGAGTAATAAATGGATCATAGGTAGTATTGCATGATGGCTCAGGAGCTAAATTGCCTGTAGTTGTATTTCAGCTGTGTGTCTTTGGACCAATTACTTAACCTTTTGATGCCTCAATTTCTTCATCTACAATAAAGTGATTTATAGTAGTGCCTGCCTTGTAGAGTTGTTTTCAGACTTAAATAAGTTAATATATCTAAACTATTTAGAACAATATTGCCATATGCTCCATAATTGTTGGCTATTGTTATTACCTAGTTTTCAATTACCTTCACCAAAAAGAAGATGTAGAGACATGGACTGTTCAGAAACTGGCTTGTTATACATAAATATACTCTCTCAAACTTATATTGCTTATTTTACAACCCTAATCTCCTCTGATTTTCAGAGCCTAGGGGTTAATCTGGGGCCATAGACTCTAAGACATTAGGAAAAATTCACAAGAACACCAGTGATATTTGACAGTGGAAGGAGAGATGTGATTTCAACAGCACTTTGCATTGTGTGCATAGGTCATTCTAATTTCCATTTTTCTTCTTTCCAAATAGTTGTCTCTATATCCACCAACTCAAGTCATGGCTCACCTGCGCCATATATGAGAGGAGGGTGGCTAGAGTAGCGAGTTTACAAGTTTCTAAAGCCAAAGACTTTTCTCCTTACTCATAAGTCCCATTACTTCAGAATGTATTGTGGGCCTGGAGATGGGATGAGACTGAGGCAAAGAGTAATCTGTATGCTGTAAGTGCTTGTGCTAGAGTATTGGCAGAAACTGTGTCAATGACAGCTTGAAAGGAGTCAGGGAGAACATCATGGCTGGGCGGCAGAGAGAATCTAATCCCACATGAGGTATCAGGGAGCCAAATGGCAGATCAAAGCCAGAACCAAAGCAGGGCTTGGTGGCCACAGATTAGAAGCCAGAGGAACACAATGGGGCTGACTGGGTTACTGGAAAAATGTCAGCTGCTGGGCACAGGGAGCTGGCAAAAGGTCACCAGCCTCTGCAAGTTTTCAGAAGTCCCTAAGTGCAGCATCTGGATTCATTAGTAGGCTGTCATAGATGTTCAGAAGTGAAAACTTTATTTGAGACTTTGAAGGTAGGTTAGGCTGCTAGGAGGACCCTAGATATTGTGGTACTGAATAGGAATCTGAGATAGCTCTGCCACCCCACAACTTTGCCTCCTTTTGAGAGGTTGTGAATATATATATTTGGATTATATAGTAATAATTATAATTGCTATTACATTTATTAAATGTCTTCTCTTCCAAGAACTGTGCTAAGAGATTCATATTCATCACCTTATTTAATGCTTCCTCAGAGAGGCACTTGTATTACCCTTCACAAACTCTAAGATGTAAGCTCTATGTCTTCGGCCAATGGACTTGGCCTGTATCATTTCCTACTATGTACCCAGGACCAAAAACCGCATGTGTGAGTCCAGAAAATGTGCTTAATCAATATTGGCTGAATACTTATCTCTGTTTTCAAATGAGTACACTGAATCTTAGAAAGGTTAATTGACTTTCTCAAAGTTACATAAGTGATAAGAATGAAGTCAGAATTCAAACCCAAGTCTGGCTGACTCCTCGGCCTGTTTGCTTTTCCATTTTTCTATTTTGTAAATAATGGAAAGAATACTGGGTTGGCGTCAGGATGCCTAGCTTCTATGTCTAGTTCTACCTTTAATTGTATGACCTTAGGCAAGTGACTTCACTTATCTGGGATTTGATTTTCTCTACTACATATTAAAGAAGTCTAAGTGGATAATGTCCAAGATTGCTTCCAGCTCTCTTTGGTCTGTGACCTCCATGGGTCAAGGGAGCCCCGTAGACTTGGTCTGAGTCACAGTGAGGTGCTCCTTAGGAAGCAGAGACATGGAAAGGTCAGCTTATGGGAGGCTTGACCAAAAACTTGGAAAATATGGGGCAAGGAGCTGCCACAGTAGATGGCAGATACCTCTCTCTCTCCTGTCAGAGAGGTATTTCATATCCTTATCTCCATGGGGGAGTGGCTGCTGTTCTCCAACCCAGGTCACTGATACTCTGAAACTCGGGAAGTTAAGCAGCTTACTGCTTTCAGAGCCTCGTGACCATTCCAGTGAGGGGAGGGATGACCACTGATGATTAGCACTAGTTGACATGTGGGGATTAGAAAATTCTGAATTCAAGATGCTAATTTCAGTCACATTCACAAAATCTCCTTAATTAAAGTTTCATTGTCAATTTAGGTTTTAAACATTCTTTCTCAGTAAGGTTCATCCATTTAAAACACAGTGGCCCAGAAGAGTGAACTTTGAAACAACCACAGAGTTGCTTTGAATCATGTGTTATATTAAAGATGCCTGTATTAGATTTAACAAGGTTTCACAGCCTCAGTTTTAATACTATTATTAAAAATAGTTTGTGTGTGTTTGTACAGGCTTATTCCCAATGGATCATACCATTTTCTTTTCAGGAACTCCAAAGCAGCTAACTCACACACTTTGGCATCCCTTTCCTCTGTTCCGTAGCTGCCTTTATTTAGTGAGGTGAAGAAGATTAAGTTACATTAGAGTGGTAACCCCTTTAGGGGGTCAGAGACCTCTTTCAGAATCTGATGAAACCTATGGATCATCTCCACTTCCACTCTCTCATTCCCAGGTCATAAGTAGACATACTCACAAAATGTTACACACAACTTCATGTGGTTTTAAGGCTCCTCTGAAGCCCATCCATAGAGGACTCTAACACTTTATTAAAATGTGGGTTATTTCAATACATGGTGCTGAGAATAATGGACATTGCTATACAAAAAAAGAAAAAAATTAACCTTGACACTTACCTCACACCTTACATAACCTTCACTCTAAATATATTATAGGCCTAAGAGTAAATGCTAAAACTAGAAATATTCTAGAAAAGAATATAGATCTTTGTGACCATAGGTTAGGCAAAGACTTCTTAGATATGACACAAAAAACATTTTGTATAAAAGAAAAAAGCGACAAACTGAATTTCATCAAAACTAAAAAGCTTACTCTTTGGAAGATATTGTTAATAAAATAAAAAGTCAAGTCACAAACTGGAGAAAGTATTTATAAAGCATCTGTCTCTGTCTTTCTCTTAGGAAACTCGCCCAGAGTCTTGCCCAGCAATGTTTGCTTGTCTTTCATTGTTGACCCTTAGCTGTATAGAAGACTGGGAAAGGTAATCTTTTAGCCAGACCTAGCACTGCTGAAATAACACTGGGTTCTGTGACCAAAACAGAAGAGAGGAATGCACACTGGGTAGGCAACCGAGAACATGACACATCTACATTGCAAACTTTTGAAAGAAAACAGAATCTCAACAGATGATAACCAAGAACTTCGAACTAGTCTGGCCCTATCCTCAGGGCTTAGTCTCTGGCCTGGAGCTCTGACTACCAGAGCACAGGCCTAACACACAGGAAGCTGTGAGGGAAGACTTATGTTCTATCTTGTAATTAGTGGACTGTAGGGGAAAGGGCTGTACAGAGAAGGAAGAGAGATCCCTGAAGGCAAACTGCCCACAGGGCTTATAGAGGAAGTGGTCCTAAATTTGGCCTTCACAGCAAGTAATTTCAGGAAGCAGAGTGAAGGAGGGGCCTTGGACTCAAGACATAGGAGCAGGTAGTTGAGTGCTGCATTCAAGGATTAAAACTGTGATAAGCCTAACCATAGCAGGAGGGGTTTGTTGAGAAGTGGAAGTTAAAGTTAGTCTGGGCCAGGTTGAGGTGAGTCATGAAAGCCAGAAAGAGAACTTTGAGCTTGATGACAAAGTAGGTGGACCCTCCTTCTAGAACCAAGGGATGACTCAATTCGTGTTGATTTATTCAGATCTGCTGCTCTTTCTCCGAACAGACCTGTAGTCATTGACTTTCTCCATATCCATCTTTAGAGAAAATATGCTCGTTTATTTCAGGGGAGAAAAATACCTTTTGCTGCACCAACCACAGGCCTTGACAACTGACTTCCATTACTCTACTGCAGAACCAGAGTACAGTTTCAGAGTCTTCCTCAGCACAGCATACAAAAAGGTATTACCCAGTGATTAGAGTTGCTGTTCTGGACACACCCTGTATGATAGGACTGACAAACCCAGCCTTTTGGTCCCTTGTCTTCCACCCCACCTGCGCTGCCAGTGCCTCCCACTGAACTTCTACCATCATTTCTCTGCTGCTATGGACATCCTTCAGGCTGAAGCTGTTTTTTTCTATCACCACTAATATTCATTTAAACCTGATTTCACCTGGAAAAGAATGTTGGACTTGAACCAGAGCCCAGTGTGACATGGCCATGGCTAGATCCCTTAAGAATGACCCTGGAAAGATTAGTCTACCTTAGTACACAGGACAGCCAGGAACTGGGGAGGAGGGTAGACAGATGGATCAGAAGTAAGTAGAGCTGTTGGGATTCTGCCACAATGACCCAGACTTAAGGAGATGGCAGCCTGAACCAGGGTAGGAATAGAGACATGAGACAATGTCAGAAACTCACAAAGACAAGTGAGAGGTCTTATTGGGAGAACAGGGAGCTTAATAATCCAGTGTGGAGAGATCTGATTACATCCATTGTCGCCGCTTACCCACCTGACAACAGGCAAAACATTTTAAGGGTGGATTTAGGGATGTGAAGCTCTGTTCATCCCTGGAGTGTCTTCTTCAGATCTCTCAAAGCTTTAGTTCACTTCCTTGAATAAAGCAAAAGACAAGTGATAACTGAGGTAGCTGTTCTTGTTTGAAAATCAGGGGATAAAACAAGGTGGTTTTGAAAGCTTTTAAAGGCTTCCATCCTCTTCTAACACAGCATCAGAGGAGAGACTTTGCCTTATGCTCTTTTCATATGCGTGTATCTGTCTCAGAATCTCCATAGTGACGCTGTGTATGTTTGCACGCTGAAAGCTTCCAGAGG